CTTTTCAGGCGATAAATAATAACTGGTTCCTTATTTAACAAGGGGGTCATTAAGGGACGATATAATTTAGGGGGTGTGGGAATATAGAATTCATCTAACGAAAGCTCCTTCTCTTTTCTCTTCGTATCTCTCTCTCCTCCTAAAGGGTCTTGATGGGGTTATCTGTCAACCATAAAACGGCGGAAAAAAATCACTGTTAGTAGTAAGATTGACAAATTTTAACCAACGATGGAAAGAAATCAACCGTAATACGTAAATTTGCCAAAATTTTAATCTTTAGCCTCTCACCCCATCGAGACCCTGTGAAATGATCCAAATGTCTACAGCTACGTTTAGGCAGATTCAACTTCATACAATGTCAAGTCAGGAAAGTTACTTTGTTTTTGTAGGTTTTCATGACCACATGGCGGCTGTCAATGTTAGACTGATCTTGAGGCTTCTTGTGCCTATGGCATTCGCACTCACCATAATGACGCTAATACGATGCATAGAATTCGTCACAAAGTTTCCGAAGCAGTTTCAGTATAGGACTTTTTTCATCTTCAACCGTTCAAATATTCCCCAAAACCAAGGTGCATGCGTATTACCTATGGCTGTCATCAACAAAAAGTCCCATTCAGATGGAGAGCTGAGTTGTAAAGTTCCTACATTGGATCCCTTCCTACCCGTTATTATGAAATCTCTCCAACCCAGAGAGCCAATCAAATGCAATGGTAGACTATATACAGAGTATGAAAATAACGTGTTAAGACTTCTTGATGACATCAGTGAAGGTTTGTCGTGGAGAAGTGTTTTAAGGATATTCTTTTTTTCGTTAATGTTAATATCCCTATATATGTATATATAAAAAAAAAAAGAATAAGCAACGTAACTTTCTTAAGTTAAATTCGTCCATCGTGCAAAAGTACCTTCAGCTCAAAGAGGTCTATAAAATTTTACTTCGATAAGATGAAAAAACACAACAGAGGCGATGATGAACCATGAAAGTTTGCACAGGATGAACACGATTTAACCCTGAATTTCCAGAACCATTTAATATTTTAGAATATCATCTAGCTTAATTATTCAAGCTTTACAGACAACTAATGACGTATCACATCTAAGCGGCCAGGCGAGGAATGCCCCGCTATTAATAATTTGAAAAGTGATGGTGGTGGCGGTAGGAAGACAGTGATAGAGAGATAAAATCACCTGCGATTGTCTTCACGTTGTGTCTGTGCGAATTTGTACGACATACAGCGCACCAATGGATTCGTGCCTTGACTTATGTATCCATACATGGGCATGCTTTGTAACATGAAAGTTTCAAAAGTCCCCTTTTAAATTACTACTTACCCTTTCACCGGTACGGTTGTTATCGTTAATTGTTTTTCTCATCTTCTTTAGGGCATCAAGTTGATGAGGTCTATGCAGAACCTTTCATTCGTGTTTCTGACTTCAATGTAACACTGGGGGAGAAGAGATTCCTAGAGCTAACGAAGAAAGAGGTCAAAGTACCGATAAATAGTGACTTTTTAAAAGTGACAGTTCGTTTTAAAGATGGCTCTGAGCAGACAGATTTTCACGCCTCGATTTCAGAGATACCCGACGTCGCGCAGCGCAAAGAAACGCACGATGCACCCTTAAACATAATGGTCCTAGGATTAGACAGGACATCCTCAGCCCATTTTCAAAGAATGACACCAAAGACCTATGCTTTCTTAAAGGACCAATTGGATTCCATTATATTCAAGAGTTATTCAATAGTCGGGGAAAATACGGCACCAGCTTTGTCTGCCTTTTTAACTGGCAAGTCACTGAAGGAAAACTGTGCATTCAAGGAAGCAAGGAAAGGTTTTAAAAATGCTGGACGTGTCGACGACTGGCCATTTATATTTAGCGATCTCAAAACCCTTGGAATTCCAACAATGTGGAGTGAAGATCAACCCTCTCTAGGTAAATCGTTTCCAAGGGGAAGTATTCTCCTGAAATTTAGTGATTTTATCTCCAATATTAAACATTTATGTGCAATTATGACTCTGGGCGCGTTTTCAACCCCAAAAGACGCTCTAAGCTTGATGAAATTTGTTTTGGAAAATGGTAAAAATAATTCCTCATGCCGACATTTTGGATATGACCGCTTTCCTCTGCGTAACACTCTCACTTCTCTTTCCACAATCTGATGGCGATCTTCTCTAAAAAATTGGAACTAAAAAAGAAAGATTCAATTGACTAGAAAAAAATGAGGTTTCGCAATGAGTTTCTTAAACCTCTTAGCGTGGTTAAAATAATCTGGTGTTTGTGCGGCCTGGTTACTAGGCTGGTTACAAAATGAACGTGTCTATGGTCGAAATATTGGCTCAGGTTGTATGTCGAAAGGTTATGTAAATTTTTGTAGTCGAAGACCGCGGTAATTAATTTTGAATTTTTTACAAATATACTCCACGATGGCGAAGATTAGAATTGTGTGATTATTTCTTAACTAAACTTGGAGCAAATTTTGCCAGACATTATTTAGATACCATTTGAACAATATAATTTTTTTTGCTACGGTTTTATCCAAGCAAAGCAAAGAGCTCATGCAGTTTTTACATTTTTAGGAGCGTTTCATTTTCAACTGAAAGGATTCAACAAACAACCCACTGACCACTATGGAAGATCCCTGTGGTGGTTGTATGATGGTAACCTCTGTAAGCACTCCCTTCCACAGTACAAGCTGCAACTGCAATATCTAAAGAGCTTCATAAAGTCCTATCCTGGAAAAAGAAAATTTGGTTTCGTATTTTTGTCAGACCTTTGCCATCGTTGGGCTAATCTTCTTAGTGCTGGGGATGACGGATTTTTGGAATTTTTTAAATCATTAAAGAATGAGAGTCTTCTTAATGACACTTTATTTATTACAATGGGCGACCACGGCCCTTACACATATGGTGCAATACGGGATAGTCCTCAGGGGAAACTTGAACATCGGCTTCCATTTCTTTCTTTGACTTTCCCTGCTTGGTTCAAACGCAGTTATCCAGTGCAAATGGCAGCACTAATCAGGAACTCCAGGATCATATCGTCACCGTTCGATCTTCACAAAACTATGAAGCATTTGTTAACGTTTCCGCAGAAAACTTTTGTTCAGACGGATACCATTGGTGAAAGCCTTTTTGAACCACTGCCAGGTGGCAGAGCTTGCGAAGATACCGGTATTCCAGAATTTTATTGTCCCTGTTTAAGTTTGCGATCCATTGACACTGCTCATGCTCATGTTCATCGAGCTGTTAAGGTGGCTGTGAAGCACATTAATGACATTTTGATGTCTCGCTCAATCTCGGCAAGGCTTTGTCATCAACTAGAGTTAAAGGCGATCTTTGAAGCTTACCAGAAAATGCCAAGTCGTGGCTCACCCAAAAACGTTCTAACAGATCACAGAAATACTTCGTGCAAGTACCAGATCAAGTTTCAAACGACACCTGGTGATGGTTTGTTTGAAGCACTCTTAGAAATGAACTCAACCGGAGGTTTTGAGATTTTAAATTACATCTCTCGAGTCAATACGTACGGAAATCAGTCAAGCTGTATTAGAGTACCATACATCAAACCATATTGTTTGTGCAGATAACGACTTTAGAAAATATGCGTTGGGATCTACGGACGGAGTTTTACCGCGGATTTTCTCCAATTTCCTCGCCAGTGGATCAAAAACATCGACGATATACACAATGGACAATTTTTCAAGGGGAGAAGCTATGCTCTTTCCTATATGTCTTGGAAAATACTGCGTCGTTTCTAGAGGCCTTCGATAGTAAACATCTACAGCCGGATTTTACCCAGAAACTGCAGTTTTGGAAATTCTGGAAAAGGGAGAGAATTCTCTGAGCAAAACGGGGAGTCCCTGAAGCGCGGGAAATTGCGAGTGACTTGGGCACGAATTGTTTTCATTGAGCATCTGATTGATTGAAAAGATCGTGCTTGAGTTTTTTGACCAATCACATTGAACAATAAAGTAAACGCATTGTCATTCAAAATAGCTTGGAAAATTAAATGAATTGAAAATTGCTCTAAAAGTGACTCTGTGTTTTACAACTATAAGACTACTCAGTAAATCCCGCTTGCTAAATAATTTATTACTCTTTTCACAATGGACTTTATATACATTTCGTCAGCTGTGAAAATGATTTTCCAACTGTTGTGTGACCAATATTGTATGTCCCTGGAACGCACCCCAAAGTAAGAAAGTCGGAACTGAAATTTCAAAAAGAACACCCGTTGGATAAAATCAATTGGAAAGATTCATTTACGTCGTTGGCTTCGGCTTTCGAGAATTGAGTGGGTTTTACTCTACAATCTGTTCTGCAAGGAACAAGTTTCTAAATTGATGAAGAAACTCCCACCAATACTTTTTCCTTACTACAATTCGTTGTTGAAAGCTGTTTATTTTTCAAATAGATTCCATTTTGCTGTGTGTCTGTAGAGAAATGGGTTTCAAATGACAAAGTGGCACACGACACTAATGGCGACTCCGGACTATCCCATGAAATGATCATAAATTACTTAGCATATTTTAAAGGAAAAGCTTCAAATCACTTGCCAGAATTAGTGAAATCACTTTCCAGATTCCGCGATCTTGTAAATGTAATTAGTCACTGGTCCGCCAGTGCACAGCATGGAGCCATGTGGACACTGAGGAGAGGGAACTCCATTGCTGCTGGTGTCACCTTCATAGCAGAGAGAAGATTCGCCATGTAAATTGTACCTCCCTGCGGCAACTTCATCGCTCCAACATGACCCTAGGCAAGAATTTTTAAAACAGCATGAGTAGTCTATGTTTAAGATCTCTGGAAAAATGGTTTAGATTTTCGACCACACCTCGTATTGATCGAAACTTTGGTTCTATTTCTAAAAAAATGCAGATATTCTAAATGAAACCTTTTCAGAGGCCAGAGACGCACTTTTTTATCTGCCAGTATATGAATCAAACAAAAATCTGTTTAAAACATGTCTGTTTCTCTGCCTGTCTGTCTGTTATAAACTGCTTTTTAAGTTCATTATCCGCCAATTTGTCTAAACCATTTAATGTCCTCGAAAGTGGTCTGTTGTTATGTCTATCCGTGTTTATGTCTATTTATCATCGACTATTAACTGCTTACTAACCATGAGTTTAAAATGTTGGTTTATTAGTCTGACAGCTTTGTGTCTGTCTGTCCGTCTATCTGCATTTTCGTCTGTCTGACTGTCTACCTGCTGGTCTGTCTTTCCGCTGTCTGTGTACCCTCCTGTCTGTCCTCTGTCTGAGTACCCTCCTGTCCGTCCGCTCTCTTTGTACCCTACTGTCTGTCTGTCTAACAGCCTAGTTACCCATTTGTCGCCCTGTCTGGCTGCTTGGTTACCAATCTTTATTTGTGTGTCTACCGTTTCTCTGCCTGCCTGCTCACCCATCTACCTACTACCTGCGTATCCGTCCGTCTGTCTGTATCTTTAAACGCGTAATGCTTAAAAATAGTAAAAAAAAAAAAAGCTAATTTTTTAGTTTTCTCACCAAAATTGTTGACACCAAAGTGATCGTATCCCTTGGCCTTCGCATTACGGGCACAATTGCAGAGGAACACAGGAAAGTCATTTTTCCAGTCTTTCGGGTCTATCATATGCCCCGCAAACACTGAGCTGGATGGGTCCACTTCGTTGTAGATTTCTTCGCCCAAAGCTCGATCATTTCGCACCTCATTGAAGCAACCAACTGCCTCAACTTCAATCTCACATTTTTCGCTCTCTTAATCAGTAGACATAGGTGGGTTAGAAGAAAAAGAGAGAAAAAGAAATGATGGAGCGATTCAGTTTAGTTGTTTTGTACAATCAACATTCAAATAAATTAAATTGATTGGGTAAGATCGAACGTGAAAATTGAAAATGGACGTGAAAATATTGCGAGACTTTTCAATGAAACTGAAAGCCCAGGCAACGGTGAAGTACTCTAACAATATTTGATTATGGTTCAAACTTTTTAATACGACATGGGCACATGTGTGAAAAGCTTCTCGCTATATGGGATATGTGCAATGTTTCCTGAAATATGTGTTATGTTTCCTCACTAAAATATGCAAATAGATTTTAACTGCTAACAGACTACGAGTTCTGTCATTTCATTAGAAATTGAAATATTCTAGCAAACCCATTCTGCTCACTTATTTTATAGACATAGTTTGCAAAGTTTTGTCCGACACAGAATTTGCTGTAGCGCCGACACGGCTGATAACATTGGTCAGTGCAGGCCTTGTGTAGGCCATCCAAGGCAAACGTGTTATGACCATCGTCTCCACTCCAGCACTCCCCTGTTTTTAAACAGAAGAACAAATATACGCTTAAGAATTATATCCTTTCTACACAGAATGTACAGATTTTCAAAGCAAACGTATCCTGGAATAGAAAAGATCTTAGCAGACTGTACCCCTATCCAAGAGCATAAAGTTGCTTAAAAGAAGTCATTTCTTGGCTACAAGCTGGGATGTAGGTAACTTTAGAGCGCTTTTCGATTGAGTGTCGTAAAAACCAAAACCAAAAAAATCACAACAGCCAATCAGAGGGAAAAAAAAACCTTTAACAGCCAATGAGAACTCGATGTAAAAACAACCAAACTGCCCATAGTGCGGGAAAACGCGGGCGACCAAGTTGTGTCTGGTTTTAGGTTTACTTCTTATTGGTTGAAAGAGTGGCGCGGGGTTTCTGGACCAATTATGGAGCGAAATAAAGCAGAACCAAAGATCACGTTGTATCACGCTGATGGCTTGATATTTTAGAAGTTTCTAGATGCTGTACCCTTAGTGGAATTTGAATAACTTACCGTAGAATTGCAAACCGAAGAAGGTCATGCCTTTTTCTTGTGCCTTCTTGGCACATCTGCAAGCCAAGTCTGGGAGATAAGTGTCCCAGTTCTTCCAGTCGATGAGCTTCCCGCTAAATTTTTTATGGAACACATCGCGATCGTTCATCAAGTAATTTGGCAGGGGTCGCGGGTTTCTGTGTCTGTCCCTGAAACAGCCAACCTTCTCGTATTGAAGGCTACATGTTGTGTCAACTAAAGAGAAGTTAAAGAATGTGATGCATTGAAACTGAAACACAAGATCGATGCCTGTGTGGGTCAATCTCAGTCCCTTTCGCGCCGGGCCTCGTTCGTCTACGCAAGAGGATATCACGTGACCTTTAGCGGTCAGGAATTAAGGCAACGCTGAGGCAGACATCTATTAAATAATAATTGATATTTCTGGTTAGAATTCAGCGAATGGCTGGAAATGTGAAATGTCTCTTACGGCGCCGCACCTCAACTTAATCAAAATGTAAGTGAGCATCGTTGAGCAGTTCCAAAACTCAAGTAATTGGCCGTTGGGGTCTCCTTCCTCAAACCAAGCAAATGTTGATGATTTCACGTTGTTGTTTTGCAGAGAATAACTAAGAAATGTGCAAATACTCGTCCTGAGCTATTCTTCTACCCCAACATTAGTTCTTTTGTTTTGCCGCGTCATCGTCCTCATCTTTACGGTCCCTCCTCCAAACTGTAACGCCAAAAGAGACTAAATGCGAGGTAATCTACTTACGCCAAAAACTCACCGATCTCGTACACCATGTTGCTCCATTGTTTTCCTACGCAAAATCGATCGAATGCACCACATGGTTTATAATCATCCCCTAAACATTTGTCTGCCTCTGCCCTACCCAGGGACATGTAGTCGTTATTTGATTTGTGCCCTGCCCAGCATTCGCCTTCAATACAAGAGATCAAAAAGATTAAATTTTAATAAAGAAGAATTAACGTTTGTTTTGTCAAATGAAGGAATTATTTTCAACGATATGATATGTTCAAAACATGTTGGTTGCGAATTTGATTTCAAAATAATGAAAAATCAATCCAAGATTTCCTTCTCACCGTAGAATTGAACCCCAAACACATCGTAGCCTTGCTCCATCGCTTTTCTGGCACAGCGGCAAACAAATCCTGGCATGTATACATTCCAATTGAACCATTCAATTTTTCGACCACCATAGTTTTTTATTGACGGGTCGCGTTCGTTTAAGATGTAGTTTGGCAACGTCCTCTTTGTCTGAAAACAGACAAATTAACAAACAAAATTTAAACAAATGCACATTACTTCGTTACTTACGTCTAGATCTCTATTCGCCCACCAAAAATATAACACTCTCACCGAATCTTTGAAGCATCCAATGGTTTTAAAAGTCACGTCACATTCGATTCTGCAGATGTTGGTCGTTTCAGCTTCTAAACCTACCAATCATGGAAATATAAGTTAGATTACCATTTTTTCTATTTAATGTTTACTACTGAAAAAAAGCTCTTTATATCATATGTGTATTTGTTTGATGAAAACGGATCACAATTATTTATTTCGCACTTTATACTCTATTTGCGACCACTGATCGCCCCTCTGTCCCCTCTTTTTCCCCCAAAATCCCCCTCCCCCCTCCCCAGGCGGTTTATAATGAATGGCCCCTCATACTTAACTGTAAAAAATCCAGATGATCAAGATGGGTAGCATTCTGAAGGAATCTCTTTGGAGCCTCTAGTGATCTATTTGACGGTAGTAAATTCATAAACAGAGTTAGTTAAGTAAGAAATGCTTTTTTCGTTGATAGGCGATTCCAATGGATGGTGATAACGATGGGGGAGGGGGCTGTATGCATGGAAAGAAAAATTCCTTTTATTGAGGGGGCGTGAAGGGGGGGAGATGGCTTTCAATCACTTCATTCACGTCCTCTCTCCAGCACTTTGACGCCCAAATAACCGTCATTGTTAAGATCTCTCGAACAATCTCATCCCCTACACGATTTCATCCGTTATCCAGCCTTCTCTCGTGCTCTAGAAATTACCCTAGAAAAGGAAATTGGTTTCAAACTGATATTTGTCATACAAATTCAATCCCTAGCTGGAAGTTTTTTCGGGTAAAAAGTTTGGATCAGAGGAGGACAAGATATAGCAAATAGCCTTCACCTGTTTGGATCTGAGTTTAATGGCCTCAAGCAAATGAAACTGTGTTTCTCAAATAACGTTAATGAGGCCACCTATTTGAACAATATCAGTAAAGATGTCGAAAATATTTTTACAGCTATTTAGCATGCAAATAATTGTAGAAAAGAAAAATTGTGCCGACTGGTGCCACATTTTTTAATAAAAAGTCGAAGTTATTTATATTAAGGTGACAAGAACTATGCTAAGAAAGACACAATCGGAGAAGAACTCCGTTTAAAAACTTCCGATATGAATGCAAATAGCTCAGTTAATACTTCAAGTTTTTCTTACGATTGATTGCATCATGTAATACATTAGTTTACCTTCGTAAAATATGATGTTATTGGCTGATTATTGAGGCACAGAAGTCCGTTAGATTTATTATTTATACAGCATAAGTATCCAATTACTTGTGTATCGAGACAACTGCAAGTAGATGAATACGTAGTTAAAAATGTTAACACCGATCTATTTAATAAAAAAAGTCTTAAAGCCTAATTTCAGTTGTTCAATTTGGAATGTTCTCAAGGTTACGAGCTATTGAATGATAAAAATGAGGAAATATGTCAATACACTGGCTATTGCCCGTGCACAAATGAGTTTTTTTTTTTTCAAATCGTTCTAACATTGGCGCCCTGTAAATATTGAATTAATTGCTCTCGAATTCTTCTGAAAGGTTACCATAGAATACCATCATCCATTGCTGGATGTTTTTCTCTTTGACCTTTCTGCCTTCTTCGCCCAAATCTTCGCAGAATGCAAATTATAATATTTTCTTTACCGTTACAATAAATCTCCTGTCGTACACAAACTCATTTCTCTCCCACACTCGCCAAATGGGAAGGTTTGCACAGTATCAGAATGAACAAAGGTTTCAGTAGATGATGACAGCGATCTCCTTTTACAATCTATTTTTACGTTCAGCCTCTTACCATTTTATTCAGTTACAATACACAGTATCTTCGTGGACAAATAGCTCTTTGTGGTTTATTGGTGTGCATTGCGTGCATATCTTGTTTTTCGCGTCCGGCCCCCCCATTTTATTCAGGTACAAACACGGTATCATCGCGTGCAAAAAGTTCTTTTCGGTTTACTGGCTTTGCGTTGTGTTCATTGTAAAAACTTCACTTAATTCTCAAAATTTTAATATATGGAAGGCAAACTTACCTTCTAGTCTTGAGCGCCAACAAAACACGCCTTAAAACTAAAAAGCGTAGCAATCAGTTTTTCCAAGTAATGACAATCACATCTATCACCGTTCCAGTAATAGGTTGCAAATCTGGTTGAGTATCTTGTACACATATATTTGACCAGCTGAATCATCTTTGTGCCTCGGGGAGCCAATGAAAACTCGAATCGAAAACATGTGAACTTATGTGGACAGGAAAACGCCGGTGAAGAAGTCACAAATTGTTCTAATTAAGCATCTGACTGTGGTTTAAGTGGTATCGCTAGATCTCTGGACCAATCACAGAAAGCGTATTGAAGAAAAATCATTGCAATCTCAAATTAAGTTCGACACTTCATTAAAAACTTCTAGGAGTTAAAATCTGTTTCCTTTTTGTTTTTTGGGCTGCACCAAGGCATCAGTGCCTCAACAGGAGTAAGTTAAACAAACTGCATTTATCATATAAACTGCGGTGATTTACAAGTATTTCCAGCCCTGAGAAAAGTTGTAACGGAACAAGTGTAAAATTACGATAATTGATAGCCATCCTGTCAGGTTGATAAATGAATGTCAAAGCGTTCACCGTTCTCAATCGAAGGTCGTTTATAGAATTTCCCTGTTAGTAAGGGCCTATGGTGTTTATATCATGAACAATACAATACATGATTGCTCGTAGATATGGAATTTCTTTTCCCTTCAACACGATATCTCACCCGTTCGCTGTTCTCACTCGTGACATATCCAATTGAACACTCGAAGAGAAACTCCATATCTACGCTCGCCCGTGTATCATCCTCTATGCACTTACTGGTTTCCATGTTCTTTATATTTCATGTTGCTGAAGCTTTTTTTCGATACTCTAGGCTGTTTAGAGAAAGAATCTTCTCGCTCGATGAGCTCTAAACTTAGGACCTTATATCCTTCGATGATGCCGTGTAAGTATGCGTCTAGTACCCGAAAAGTCCGTGTACCAGACGTCTTTTTCTCGTGCACCAACAAAAATTATAAAGCTGATTTTGCCTACCCTATTGTTGGGCTATTAGCAGAAAGAGGTAAACTCCCTGCGCTAAGCCAGAGGTTCTGAGAGTTTGCGCCTCGAAGGGATTTATTTTCGAACTTACTGGGCAGCCCACAGCTGCTGCAACTGTAACTATGACGGTCTTATCCTTCAAAGTCCACCACGATAAATTATTGACAAATTTTCGTTTAAAAATCTCCTGATCTCACATGACTAGAGCCGATACTTCCGAGACTTAATGGGGAAGGCAATAAGACAAACAATTGAGATTTATGTAAGCAACCAACTCGGAAAGCAAATATTCCTTGATAAACCCTTGAGAAAGAATTAGAAAAATGATTTATTGCAATAGTACAGTTGTATATTTTTAGTTAGTCCTGGCCAAGGTCAGCATCATAAATTCCCAAAGATACAAACTGTGGTGACTAATAGACCCTGAAATACAAACAATTGATTAAAATACCAAAACATGACATTTTTAGAAATCCGTTGCATGAGCTCTGCGTCCTCTTTCTGCGCCGTGAAAAAAGCATCATATCGTCACCGACAGAAACCACTATAAAAAAAGAACAAAAATTCAATTAAGTGTAAGAAAATAAAGGAAAGAAAAAAAAGGAACGAGGTCAGATGAGGACGAATGGGATTCACATGGATTTCAAGAGGGTCTCAATGGTGACAACCGTTACCTGTAAAACGCCATAAAGGCGTAGTCTTTGGACGTAAAAGTCGACAAATCTTACAGGAGGTCGTAAAGAAAGTAAACTCAAAAAAATTAATTAACCGTCAGTCGTATAATTGGCAAAATCTTCACCGTTAGCTGATAAAAGCCATCATCTCATTGAGATCCTCTTGCAAATGTAAAACTTGAATAACTCGAGCTTAGTTCTTTAGCTGCTGCTATCAAAACCTTAAACATAACAGGCGTAAATACTTCAAGATTATTGACCTTGACTGGACCACGTCTAAGTCAAACACCGAATATTATTATTATAAGATCATAATTTTACTTGAGTGACCCCGTGGATATTGACTGGTCGGAGCAAAACAAAACAAAAAAACAGCTCCCTTCACATTTTTATTTTGTTTGTAAGCGGAAATCAAGTGAACCTAATCACATTTTTTATGGGCGCGGCTTCTGAAGAAGACTTTGACATCCATAACCAGAAAGCGATATTTTGAGCTGATTCTAGAAGTCTCGAAAAAAAAAAACTTTTCCAATTACCTGATATGGCACTGTGCATAAAAATTAGTTACATGACCGTAACGGAATCTTCGATTACAGTCGAGTCATCTTGATTCGTCCGTATTCACTGATGGTGATGATAAAGAAACCAAAACAATTAAGATGTTTATACCATTCGCTATCTTTAAGGGCGTTGCAAAGATTGGGGGTTTTCACAAGGCTTGTAACCCCCCTCTGTCATGGGATAGAAATTAATAATTTATTATAACAGAACATTTCAGTATGTTTATGTTGAGCAATTCTGCCGTCTCCTTTGCTTGCCTGGAATTTGTTGCCAAGACTTCTAACTATGCGACTAAATCAGAGACCATTTTTAGAGGAATTTCTCCACGCTTCGACAAAAAATCCAGTACAGTATTGTGAAGCATTTTATTTTCTGCAGACAGACATTACATTATTGAATGAACAGTACAGAGACGTTCTGTCGAAATCATAACAAGATTGGCACTAAATCTGAGCTTCGATGATCAACTGTGAAAACCTCGTCTTTGAGGGTTACAATTATTTATTAGCTAACAGCTATAGCTAGCGCTCAAAAACAAATTTCATCGCAAGGTCTAGCGGTAAATTCATACTTTCCACTGACAACAAATTATGTATGCAGCCACAAAATTTCGCAACACATCATCAATATTGATGTACTTTCCTTCTAAAACTGATAAAGATTTATAAAAGTGTTCTAGCAAAGTCATTTTTTAAAATAGCATTTAGATTACATCATTCCTTTTAATCGACCGCAAGACATAAACGCATGATAATTTTCTTTGGAAACACAACTAGGGCACAGAAGCCCAAGTAAACGTTGAGAAAATGATTCATCAAACTTACCAATGCTAATGTGAACTCTAAGTGTAAATTTAAAATTTTGAATACATTAGGTACAAAATTCAATTATCTATCTTATGTTGTTGTACCAATAAAAGCTTAAAAATGATTTACTTGACGGTGATAAATCATGTCATTAAAAGCAGGATATGTCAATATGCGATTTTGTCATCGAAGTGCAAAGTTCAGTTCACCGGGCCTGCTTCCTATCGATCTTTTGCTAAAATGTAAACATTTTCCATCTGTTCCTGAAGCTTCTTTCATCTCCCACGAATTGGTTCGAAATTCAACTCCATCCACTGAGATCCAGTTTCGTCACCGTTGTGAAATGCGTTTACCCACGCTTCATCTGATGGCCAAATATGGTCACGATTCCACAGCAATATCAACGTAGACTCGAAATGAAAACTCGTTTCAATTCAGACCCATGCTTCTTCCTGTTGGGCCAGCTGATCCCTCATTTGCTTCTGGTACAACGCTAAAAGTTCATTCCATCGATTGTTGCTCTGTTGATCGAACATTTCCAAGCTGTCGCTTCGGCTTCTTAGTCTTTCCAATTGATGCGACAGGATATTCACTCCGGTGCGAATCAGCATCGAATTCACGTCGTTAAAACTTCTTGTCAAAGTTTGAGTCGCTTTTAGAGGCAAGCGCTTGTTCACCGAAACGCTTCTTGAACGTAACATTCTTACTCGCCGATCGAAGGACCTCATTCCCGAAACATCCCGGGGCCTCCTGATCATAGAGTCGGGAGAGAAATAAATAACTTCCTCCAAATCCGTTGACCAATGCACTTTTTTTCGTTCTGCTAAAGGCATTTTCTTCTCTATCAGAGAAAGTCTGGAAGGCCTACCCGGCAAGGATAATGATCTTCTTGACATTTTAGCGAAACAATTTCCCCGCTGATTCTCACTGATCTTCGTTCGCGACGCGTCTGCGCTCGTCAACTGGGCACGCCGTAGTTTGTTCTCTGTTTATCAGCAACGGAGCTGCTTTTAATAAGCCGTAATCTGCCTAATTTCCATTGGCTCGTGTGTGGTTGGCGTATCACAAATCGGCTCGCCCCCGAGCGCTAAAAATAGTATTGTTAACTTCCCGCAGGAAAAGAATCACGCTTCTGTTTTTTTTAAGTTGTCAAGTCTCATTTTACAATGCTTTATATTGAGATTAGAAGAGAAAAATAAATATTCTGTTACTTTCAATAACAATTAACTCCCTCTGATTAAATATGTGAACCGTTTTGTATTCTTGCACTCGTCAAATTCTACAGGCGTTAAATACATCGATAGCTCAATTCCTCTCCCACATTCATATATTGACGATATACTTTTTATTCAGGGAAATAAGAAAAAAACGGGCTAAGAAATATAGAGTGTGGATCAACATTTATTTTCTCAAAAGCCAGGATAAAAGATCTAATACGGCCTTATAATCGTGACACATCAGAAACATCTCTTGATCTTATCGCTCAAAAAAGTAAATACGCCGCGGTTGCCACTGCAATGAAACATTCATGAATAACAAAAATATTATTCGTTGGCGTGGTTTCGGCATTTTAGCCACGAAAATTCAAGCAAAGTCACGTATAAGCGAACCACCCCAAAAAAACCAATCATTCTGGAATTATCAACTAACAGAGTACGTATGAGTCATCAATGCACGTGGCGTAAATGGAAATACATTTCTCTTTAAATGTGATAATTATGGAATCAGACGTTTGCATAGTCACGTTTTTTAAAAGAATAGTAAGTTTTGCTTTTTAAAAAAATCGAATTATAACCTTTTCTTGGGAAAGTTAAGCCTTATTCTGATTTCAAAGCTTATATTATATCATTGAGTCAATGCATCTTTGCTCCTTCTGTACGCCTTTCAAATCGATCGTTCCTAATCAATTCTTCTAGGTCCTTTTATGGTCTCCAAACAAAAACAGCCAAACCATTTTATGACACTGCACTTCCTTAAACGCGTTTGGGGAGCCAAGGCGCCACCTATGCATACCTATTGAAAGAAAAAATATATATTTATTACTCGAAATAACACGGAGTTAAACCATAAACAAAATGAAAAGGAAACTCGATTCTTTACACATGGATGCGAGTCAAGACTTCCTGTTTATTCTGTGCATATATCAGGTGTCGTTTATCTGCATATATTTTCTTAATTTCGATGTTCTTTTGGAGAGGTGTATGTCCACGGCAAGTTTTTTTTCGCCAGCCTTTCCGCTCTTTAAACCGACTGCAGCAAAAATTACATTTTCAAGTTGGCATGGCTGTATTTCTATTATAGGATTTGTGCAAAAGGTGCAACAAAATAAAGAGACTTCAATTTATCATTGGATCACGTCACCGGAGGAAACGCTGAGCAGTCCACGCTGCAACAAGAGACGGTGAGAACCGTGCCACAAAGCTTTATTCTATTGTCTCTTCTTCTCAATTTTCTGGTAATGTCTCTTGAAGTGCTGCTTCAACCCACTCTAGTCTCAGTCGATCACGTTTGCACGTGTTGTCTTTAATATGCCACGTGCTTATGTATAATAGCTTCCTTGAAGACATGTTTGGTTTAGACCGACGTCACCCATCTTTAAAGGTCGAAGAAATAATTGGACGTAACCGCAAACCCAATCCTAGAAGTATCAGGAGAATTCGTTCTTATGATACAGCAGGTGTGATACGAGCGCGCAGATCAATATGTTGCGTTGACAACGAACCGTGGGCTCCATCTTACGTACACTGAATGTTGTATGATTGACAGGGGTGGTCAAAGAACCTCCGCACTTCTCGCAAACTGAAACATTCATTTGCCTGGTTTCTTTGCCTGTGTCTCTGTTGGCTCATTTTGTTGTCGAGTTCCAGCCTGCCTTAACAAATTAGCCGCAAAAAAGGGAAAAAAACCGTCAAACAAAGAAACCCTGCCACTGCAAGGCAAACATCTTGTGAGAAGCTGCGGAATAGCCTCTGTGACCCAAACAGACGCGTTATGACAAAAAAATTGTACAATGCATAATGCGTAATTAATTCTCTCTGTGATTAGTCTGGATAAACTTCCGCCACTGTCTTAACCAATAGGGTAGAAGCGACTTGGTATTCTGCGTTTTCCCCCGCTTCAGTCAGTTTACCTGCTTCTGCTTTGAGTTCTCAATGTCTGCTTGTGATATTTTTTTTTGTTCTACTCGGTCGTTTTGATTACTACATTTCGAAAAGCATTTAAACTCTGGAAAGAGACGGTTAAGCTAAGAGATATCGTCATCACCCCAGGAGTGAGAACGCCGAAATTTCTCTTTGCAATCAAGATATCAGAACAATATCAAGCAGAGCACAGATGGAATGTAGAAAAACAAAAAAAATAGAAGGTTTAAGTTAATTTCACACCAATTCTAAAAATTAAAGTTAATTTAAAGGTATTACAGACGATAAGGAAAATCAGTCTTGAGATCTTGGAATTGAAAGGGTTATTTTAAGGTCACTCTCATTTTCCGAGATGCCAGGAGAACATGAATTCTCGTGTCTCAAATTTTGCCCACAAATCCATAAATACTCTTTTTATTTAAGATATTAGTTTTAGAGCGTACACGTCACATATGAATAAAAAAGCGTGATGGTAGGCAAAGGCAATCGATTAATTTCAATAATTCGTCAGTTTTTTCTAGCATTCTTCGAAGCAATTTTGAATAATAATCTTTTTTTTATTCGTTGGGCTCTTATTAGCATTGATGAAAACTAGAAAAAAGACTATGAATGCATATTTTCATAGAAAACAGTTTCTGTCACTTATGATAGAAGTCTTAGGTTGTGATCTTTCACTTTATCATGTGAATACTACACTTTGATTAGGGCCAGACAGCATTTTCTATTAGTTTACCGGCGTAAAACTGAAAGAACACGAAAAAAACTGTGGTATGAATCACAAGGCTCACAAAAGTCAGTTTTCCAACAAGTTATTAGCTCACCAAACGAAATTTTTTTATTAGTCAGGGAGATACATGACGTACATTATTAAATTTTGAATAACTGAGATATTTCTTGCACTTAGACATTCTTGGACAAACATCTCAAAGCCATTTACATTTTTTTTTTGCAAAAGCTAGGGTTGAATAAATTATGCTTTAAGATTTGAGCAATACACTTTTGAGGGTCGTCCCCTGAAAATATGGCATTATGCCGAAAACTATGCTCAAAATTTTTCCTCATGTCCAATCAAAAATAATAATAACAATAATAATAGTCTTTATTAATTCATAAGATAAAACTGCATGTCTTATTTTACAAAACTTCCCATTTAGAACTAAGTTATATTTTACGTCCTAATTACAAATCTAAATTATTTTTTTAATATTTACAAAATTCCAGTTACAAAGTTAGGTCATACCTAAAACTAAGGCGATTAAAATAGGAGTTCTTCACTCGATCTGCGTTTAAGTTTGCCGGTGACAAGGTTTGTGTTACTCTGGGCTCAATTTACTAATTCAAAATAATAGCTTTTAAGTGCCGCTCAACTTATCTGCTCCCCACCAATCTAATTTCGGTAAAGAAGGTTCAATGTTAACATTTTTATCTCAGTCTTGTTGAAGGAATCGCCGAATTTTTTTAACCTTCATTAATTATACCGGCATCATGCTCCATGTTCTGACTTCAGCATTTATCTGCCCAAAATTATGCCGCCATAATCTATCTGACCCTAACAAAAGCAATAAAATGTATACCTTTTATTAGTTTATTCCAATAATAACATGAGTTCTGTTGCGATCTCTTATTTAAATCTTGCTAAACTTGTGTCATAATAACACGTTTCGATGACAGCCCTTCAAATTATTAATTTGAAAGAAGGCAACTTGATCACCAATTCGTTGTGGTATTACTTAGTGGACACCGGAAGCAAGAGAAACGCGCATTGGGCAAAAGTTCCAGGGTCGCAAGCGAAGAGTGAACACGGAATTTTTTTAGCGGAAGTCGAATTCTACAGTTACCATCTAATTTACAAGTAACTTGAACACAAAGTAGTCACAAAAAACCCTCAACCATGAAATGATAAATAAAAACCCCAATTTTCCAGCATTTTGAGAAATGAAAATATAGCGACAGGTAAATATTAATTAGGGAAGGCGATTTGAAATTAATTATCTAAGGGTGTAGGTGGGTGCCTTCCAATGAGGAGACGAGGCAGGATGTAATTTCTTCTTAGAAAAATAAGGACATGAATATCAACTAAAAATAGAATTATGATGTAATTGTTTTGAGTTCGAAGGACAAAACGCGCGAAATTTCTGCGAAATAAAGAATAAAATGTCTGAAATTTTTACGAATATCATGCAAACATAACGAAAATATTTCACACAGACAGAAGAAGAGAAGCCTATTGGAGATATTCCTTGCACAAAAAAGCATAAAGTTTAATAATATCCGGACTTTGTTTCGAAATGAAGCCTGCGCCGATGGGAATCTGGATAAAAGTAGTTCAAATGTCGGTATAACAGATCGAGATATAACTGTCCATAAGAGGACTTTTCAAGGTGTGAAGTGGTCGGTAACTGTAAAGAATCAAGACTCGCTATTAACATTTGTTATTATGAGCGCTTTAATAGTAACGCCTGTTTCCAAGAAAGGATGAACACATATGCAAAACGGAAGAGTTAGGCCAATCGCATATCGCTCTAAAATTAAAGTTGAAAATTATGCGAACTTTAACCGATGTACTACAGCAACAATAATTAAATATAAGCTGTTTCTCTAAGATGCGGGTAAAGTCGTATTGAGAGAGTAAGCCAGATATTTTAAGTCGTATAATTTTGTAAGATAAAAGTTTTATTTTGGCGGAACAAAAAATAAAACAATTTTTTTCGGTAATGTCAAAATTTAAAGTTCATTTGTGCATGTTAAGTTGCATGTCTTTATTTGTGGGCGCTATGCTAACGTCATTACTACGAGGTCTTCCGGTGACCGAGCAGGTGCAAAGGAAGAACTCTCAATGGTCCTATCCGTGTTTTTAAAATTATTTGTCCGTTATTTGTGGCGAGAACAAACGATCTGTCTTCAAAAAGCCATTCACTCAAATTTTTTATTTATAGCATCCAATAGGATTTGAGTAACATAGTGAAAGTACGATTGAAACCTAAACCGCTGTGCTTACATTTAAAAGTGATCGATCGTATTGATGTATATTTAGTCCCTCTGCGATCACCTAACAGTTGAAGCCCTACTTAGCAAACTCTCATTTCAAAAGACGATTATCAATCACAATGGAGTTACCAAAGCAAGAGGCCGAAGAACTTCAAAGCAAGGAACAAGAGGATGATTTTTCAGAGAAGCCCAGAAAAGTTCGATGGTCACTCGAGCTGGAAGAGGTACACTATTTTGTTCCATTGCCGCAAAAGAAAGACAGCCGATGGAAGAAGACTATTAAGTGCATCAAAGAAAAGGCGCTTGATTGGAAACACAACCCACTCATGATACTTGGAGACCTACATGATCGTAATAACTTGCACCTTCTTCACAATGGTCTTGTATTTCTGACAAGAAAGGTGAACAACCGTTCAGATAAGGTGGATTGTGAAGACATCCACGACATCAACAAATACTGGGACGAATTGTTTGAACTGTATTCAACGCGCGAAGTGGTGTCTTGCGACGACAATGACAGGCGGAACTCCAAGTTCGCCTGAAAACGTTGCTGGTTGAAGGCGTATGAATTGAGAATTTATGAAAGTTGTGACTAAGAAAACCTTGCGAAGCTGACGTTTGGCTTTTGTGGAAAAGAAGAAAAAAAAAGGAGAAGAAGTATTTTAATCGAGAAACTGAACAGAAACTTTGTTCAAAAAAGGACGTCAGTGTCAGTGTTTTGAATGTCACGAAGAACTGCACGTGACAGAAATTGAACGTTTGAATTTTTAACATGAACGCCCTCAGGAGGTTTTCAAACGGCTTTCGGTCTGCAAAAAAGGATCGATAAAAATATCATTACGTTAAGTAAAGAACACGTCGAGAGCTGAAAATAAGAGAGTTGAAAAAAGACCGTTTAGGTTTTTTTCGAAAAGATGTTCCGCTAATTATTATTTTTTATATATATATTTGTAACACGTACTTAAATATCTCAGTTCGAATATTTTGAAAATGTAATCTCTGTTGCTTAACAACCGCAGTGATATGCAATTCTTCTCGTGGTTTACCCAAATACTTCCATGTAAAAACTGAACCTTTCGAAATGAAAATAAATCTTGGGATTTTTTTAATCTCGCAGTGTTATATAGTTACTAGAGAATTTATAATACAGAATTTTAAAATTTGTTTATGTTGCAAACATCTCCAGCCAAGAGAAGTACGTTACTTATGCAATTATAAACTGTTTTCAAATCCCCATTTCTTTGTCTAATTGATGAAAACGGCCCCTGAAGTTTCACACAGCTTTCAATGAGTTTGTTTTGATTAAAGAAGAAAATAAATAACATGTTTTTTTAAACTTTGAACCCTAGTGAATATGCCCTAAATTTCAAAACATCCCTGGAGTCAAAACATTATAAGCGAAACAGCAGAGTTTGTTAGCTTACACCGTTTGAGCGTAAGCCGGGCAGTAAACTGCCGCCGGTATTTTCAAGCCTTACAGCATCAACAAGCCTAGAACAACATTTAAGGATTATCATTTTTAATTTCAATCTCAAAAAAAATCTCTCCTGCTGCCTAACTGTTGAGGAAATTTAAGTTTTTTTTTGTATGTTACTAAAACTGTTTTGTCGGTCACGCATAATTCTGCGATCGTATGTTTTGTAACTATATTTTCATACCGTCGACCAATTTTATCATTTCATAAGCAGCTTCTATTCTGCTGTCTTAACCATTAATTTCATCGGTTATTTAGTTGGAAAAGAATAGTGAAAAGTTTCTTGAAAAGTAGCTCGAAAACAAAGTCGGTTGTTGTATCTCAGTCGATTATGAAGAACTCCGTGAAAATTTCTTCTCGATCTTACCGCCTATCGTAAATGAAGAAAACTGGAATTAATTATGGAATTCAACAGTGTAGCCATAAATACATAAATTCTGAGTGGAAAAATTAGCACATGAAGAAATTTTCCTCGGCAAGAAATGGTGAGGTTTAGTATAGCCTGCACGTGCATTAATCGAAAAAGGCACGTGATTGAAAATTCAATTTTACTGTTGCTGTAATTAAGACCAGCTAAAGAATTTAAGATGCACCCATAAAACTCGAGGCAACGTCGAAATTGAAATTCATTTCATGCTACATTAAAATTTTTTGCAAATTTGCACATTACCAAAGTGGTTCGAATTTGTTTGTATGAACCGATGAACCGACCAAACTTTCGTAGCAGTGTTTACGGCCTAACGTCGGTATTTTTCGTGATAAAAACAAAGGCAAATTTTCAAAGAAAGTTATACAAAACAAAAAAAGGGGATTTGTACCTGCCTAGATATGTTGTTTTCCTGACATTAATTAATTTAATCATTACGAATAAAACTTTTCGGAACTGTCAGTTAGGGTGAAAAAAGAGTAAACACACTTTAATCAAACTAAGTGAGAAGGGCGCAGATGATCATTTTAATTCAAACCTTAATCGAACCAAAATCTTCCCCAGTCGTAAGCTTGTGGTCTTGCATAACGGGGTGGGGCTAGTGGGCTATATATATATATTTTTTCAAAATTTTACCCTCTGAAAAGTATATTCAAACGCAAATGCACCTCAACTTTTTAATTATCTTTTGTGACTTTCTGGTTTTCAACTAATTAATTTGAGGCTCTCTCGTAGAATGTCTCAACACTGCTATTTTGGATGTTTTCATAGTTATTATATTTTTTTTAAGAAAAAAGAAAAAAAAAAGCAAGATTAAAACGATAGATATTATATCGTAAAGGAATCGGCGCATCTTACATTGCCCGAGTTTCAAACCACCGTTTATTTCCAAAAACATCTTTACTTGTAATTAACTTTTACTTGCTGCCGAAAAAATGGAATGAGTCGGCCATAAGAGTCAATTTTTATGCAGACTTATTTTTAAATGTTAATTTCACCATACAGAGGAAATTGTTAATTGAAGTCACAAATGCGAAGGAAGCGACATTTTCATCCTAACAATTTTTTTTTCTTTTTATTCATTAAGTCTTGAATTTGCAGCGGGGAACTTTTCCGCCACTGACATTTTATTTGTGTGTTACTCGTCTCAAAACTATTTTTAAGCACGATTTGCAACATCACAAGTTACGTAAGTGCCAGGTTGTGATGAACTCAACCGTTCACGTGCAAGTTGCAGAAGTTACATAACTGCTACAGCTCCTGTCCTCCTAACAAAACGGCCGCCACGCCAAAACGAATTTTTAAATGAAAAAACATACGTTATCCTGAAAAAAGATAAGACAAAATTTGTATCTTGATTCCTATCGGGCACATCTTAGTATCAGTATGAAGCGACAGAAGAGAAATATTGAGAATTAATTTGTTTTCGAGGTCATTTTCTTTTCAATATGAGAAAATGATGTGCTCGCTTTCAAGAAACTGATCCATCGAGAATTTACTTGAGACAGTAAGCGTTCACGTGCCGAACATCAAAGCCATTTTAATATCCTGAAATTAATGGATTGAGTCTGCTACTGATCGTGATATACGTAAAAAGGAAGCGAGTCACCTTGACGCGAATTGACAAACAGACAATAACTATCTGAGGAACAGCCTAGAATTTTTAATCCTTGCAAGGGAAATCAATTTAACTAATATTGCATAATAGTGTTTCGTGAATAGCTGTCAGTCCGGCACACTACCATATGCGAGATACTTAAGAGAGAAAAACATTTTTGAAATGAGTTGCAAATCATTTGAAACTCAGAGCTGGGAAGGAGAATATCTTTAACGTGAGCTGACAATGCACTTTATGACGCTTATAACTGAGACAGTTAAGGTTTGAGTGGTTTGAAGAAGGGAGTCAAAAAGTGTTTAAAATGGCTATCTAAGACGATACTTTTCAATTCGATTTTCCATTTTAAAGCAATATTCGATACTTCTGTTCCTTTCTGTTAAAATATTTACCCAAATTCGGGCCGGCAAATGGACAAAAACGTACTGTACACACATAATTCAGTTTAAGCTTTTATCTTCACTAATTTTTCCATTAATGTGCTTGTACAAAAGATCAACATATTTAGCTGGAGAAACCATCTAACTGTACGGATGTCCTAGCACTTTGTTGATGAAATCTGTCTTTGATTCTCTTTAATGCACGCAAAACTTTAGATAAAATCGCAGTTTGACGATCAGCTGGTTTCGGTCTTACGGTTATTTATACATGACTATGAAAAGCCAGATTGTTTTTACTCTGATGTTTTTCAACTCTTTTTAATTCGAAATTACCTATTTATGTGTTTGTTCGTGTTTGGCCAAATTTTCGAACGATCAAAATAAGGTATTGCGTAATTTCAGCGTCAAGTACCAGTGACACTTCTCTGTCCACTTTTCTGTGTATCTATCACGCCTGACCAACAACCAACAATAATTGATAGACTGAAAATGTCAAAAAAGGTTGTTCTTTTACTTCGCACAAAATCCAAGCGCAAACTTAAGTCTGCTATGAAAGAGCAAAGTTCAATTGATTTGTTTTACCAAAAGGCATTAACGTGAACCATTCACATCATTGAGTCTGAACCAAACAGCTACTTCTCCCGTAAAATGAAACCAAATATCTTGTTTGACACCTTTGTTATAAACCATGATGTATGGCTGAATGTTTTTGCATAAAATAGAAAAAAATATATATATAAAATGCCTTTTTAGCGTAGGAAGTTTTCCAAATGGTGAAGATGACAAAGGAAAAAAGTTTTGGACAAACCTGAATTTTTCCCAAATATTAAACCAAATTGTCAAAGGCGGCTGGTTTGACGACAATTATATAAACACGTGTGCTTTTCTGGTGAGAGCCAAACTACACCTTGCAGATAGATGTTCACTGGGCCGGCTTCACTCACCAATTTATAATGCTCTACTTGTATCATTTTCATCAGTTTTATTATCAAAAAAATCGTGTTCTTGGAACGTGAAGACGCCTCATGCAACGAGCACACAGTTCCTGTTATGTAACGATCAGCTCTCACGTAATCTTCTCTTTAAATTATATTTGTTGTTTCCACTACCGTCAATTACCTGAGGGTGGCTATTTTGAATCTCCGTCAAGCCACACGTACTTCGATTTGTTTATGCTTTGAAGAAATCTATCGTTTCTAAAAGCAAATCAACCTCCTACTGGTAAATCACGAATGTCTCCGGTACAGTTGACTTTTCGAAGGGAAATTCTCATCATACATTACCGATGAGTCATTTAGAAATTAGCCAGTTGAAATCAAGCTTAATTGAAAATCAGGGAGATTTGCCGAAAATCGATCTGTAAAACACCGCACGAGACCAAATTTATCAACAAAACATTCACCCTCTGATTGTGGGAAAGACCCAAAACTTCTTTGATTTACCTCATTGTCTAACATTCTACTAAAGGTTAACCGCAAAGGAATTGTAAATGTCTACGAGCTCTTCGTAATGAAGAGTCTCCAAACCTCTTTCAATTATTGGCTATTAAAAATTTAAGAGTGCAGCTGCAACTCTCCATTACATAACTGTATGACCACTCGTGAGGAGGCACGTGCCCTTAATTAGATACTGCAGTTATATAACTGCTGCTATTTCTGTATCACTGTACCTTTCAAAGCGAACACCTCACCCAAAATAAAACCAGATACTTCCACCATATTTCCAGAAAGCGTACCCTAGAAGGAAACCGTGTGAAAGAAAAATTCACCGTTAAATAAGTAACTTAAAAAGGAGTACTACTCGATGTTGCAAAGCATGTTCACGTGCAAAGACGCGTGCCAGAAATCGAACTTGGTCTCATTATTATAATTGAAAATTAAGTTTGTTATACCATTTTGTAGGTTGCTTTCGTCGCTAAATATATCAATTTAAAAATAATTTCACTAGCACCAAAATATCCTGAAGCTTTAGGCCTCGGTCACGTAGACATACACTCTTTTGGAAATAAAACATGATCGCAACAACATTTACAAACATTCTTTATTCTTGAACATTCTTAGAGTCTGACTTTTCAGGCATGTGTAAGGAAGACGGATTGGGTGCTAAGGAACGTAATTTGAAAAAATGTACTGTCGGGCAAACAATTTTAAGAACGCTTTTGGGGTTTCTAGTAATTAAGAGTGGGAGAAAGAAAAGTGCTACAGGCACAGTAAAATGCTTTAGAAGTACAGGTAAAAAAATCTTTTACTAGCCCCTCCTGTATAATTACTAAATAGACCAACGGCAGCATGGAACCTACCGTAATGATTCGATTTAGCACCCTCGTTCTGTATAAGCACTTCCCTCGAGTTTTTTTTTTTTTTTTTCGGTAAAGCCACCCTATTCTAATAAGCGCCCCTACTAAGTAAGCGCCCCTACTGAGTGAGCGCCCCTAAAACAAAAGCGCCCCTATTCCAACAAGTGCCCTTACTCAAGTTTCAGTGATAGCACTGCTAGAATACATGTACATCATCAGATCAACCGTAGTTCAACTGTCATTAATTGCACACTCAGGCGCTCATTACAAATTACAGAGGTCTACGTCTCAGTCTCTTAGCTATTATGTTGATATGAATACAGTTCCTTCAAACGAATCATCTCGACATAAAATTTTGCGATGAATGCGTGACTAGTCGTTCTAGGAAGGATTCAGTGACAACCAGTCCGTTTTCCAGCCTTCTTGATCTTCTGCAAATAAACATCAAAGCTTTGTTTCGCATTCTTCTTTTTCTCAAAAAGGGAATAAGCACCCTGTCCCTGATAAACGCCGTTTCGAAAAAGCGACCTCCTTAAGGTACCAGTGGTAAATAAGCGCCCCAGGCGCTAAGTGAAAATCGAGTCATCACAGTATTTGTTACATAAAATTTCCCTGATATCAAAAACTGTATTAAATGAAATAAACGACAAAATTCAAGACGCAAAATACAAAATTTAGTTTATTATTCAAAGTGAAAAATACATCCAAGCATAATATTGTGCGTGAGTTACATAAAATTTACTATCAAAAAATTAAAAGGACAAAAAATATTGCTGCTTATCCTCCTTATATGAAAACCGAATCAATACGGAACTTGTTAAATAAAACTTCCCTGATATCAAAAACTACATTAACTGAAATAAACGGCAGAACTCAAGACACAGAATACATAATTTAGTTTACTGTTTAAAGTGATAAATACATACAGGCATAATATTTTCCGCGAGTTACATAAAATATACTAAAGCTATATAAAAAAAAGGAAAAATATTGCTGCTTATCCCTTAAAAACTTGTTAAAAATTTTTAATCTTAAAAATTGTTTGTTTATGAGTGAAAAATTACAGTTCCAATTGTAGATGAAATCTTTATTGTATATAAATTGTATAAATATATTTTTCTTTCATTTTTTCCCCGAATACTTCCGCATAAAGTGCTGTTTTGTTGTCGATATTGTTATTCATTTGTGACATTCGCACAAGCCGCCATTAAATTTCGAATGAAATTTAAAACAAATTATCAAAAGCAAAAAAAAATGTAGACGCTACAGTGCATGCGCAGTAACGTGGTCAAATGACTCCCGAACACGGAACCTGGCAGTGCACGATCATCAAAAACAAAATGATTCATGAGTTTCATTTGACAATCACTGAAGCAGCTATTTCGTAAATACGATAAGTTATGTTGGAACCCTCATCGTGACGAATCCCTGTTGTAACGAGCCTTCCTTAAAGTGATTCGCCGTTTACAGCTTCGTCACCATGTGGTTCCAATCGGTACGTTTTTATCGTACCAAGGAAAACATCAAAAACAAAACAAAAGACAACCAACCTCAAGACCTTAAATTTTTCCACGTTTATATAACTGCAATAATCCTTTTAGAAACATTAATACTAGTAACGTTTACACATACATCGTGCTATTGACAATCTTCAATTGAGTGTCGAAAGTAATCCGTTTGCCTTACTTAGGTAAGTGATAAGTCCAGATAATTCGCGCCATTTTCTCAACCAATCAACCAATTCGACTTGGCTACTTGCGTATTCCTACGGTTAGCAGTTTAGGTTGTTTTTGCTTTGCGTTCTGTTTGGCTCTTTGTGACGTCTTCTTTTCTTCTGAATGGTTGTTGCGACAAGTATGGTTTTGTTTCTACGACACTCAACTGAAATTTGCTCCATCAATGAGACCCTCTTAATAAATGGACTTTCTACGTTCTACAAATGTTCGCTATTGCTTGTGCACTGCGAAAACTGTGGGAAGAAATTACACGCTAATAACTTGTGGAAGATAAAGGCCTACGTTAAGAAATAGTCATTGAGGATGTACTGAAAAAGTGAGGAGAACACAGAAGAAAATCATACGATTTGTGTGTTTCCTTTATTCTGATTTCTTCTTTTTGCTGAGGTAGGCATGAAGGTAGAAGTTTGAAAACAACAAAATCAAACTGATGCAGTACAACCACTGGGTCCACAACAGTTTCGCGCTAAAGCCACAGTCTATGCACAGAGCGGAGGTCGCGTGAATCACAATGAAAACGAACTGAAGCTGTCAAATAAAGTGATAAATAGACAGATGTATAAATATATGAGCAAATAAATGAATTCATAAACAAATAAGTAGGTTATCAGTCAAGTAGTTCGTCAGTCAGTCATCCAGGTAGTCAGTCAATCAGTCAGTTGATCAGCCGGTCAGTCAGTCAGTCAGTTTTTATCAAAAAATAAACAACTTATCCGCTAAGAACCCAAATGGAAAGGGAAGGCCCCCAAGGGCTTTGGTGAATAGTGGAACATGACCATTTAGATTCACTAATGCAGGAGTATTTTCGAATGTTACAGACCTGAAATAAGGTTGATTTTAGAAATATATTTTAGGAAAGCAATTTTGAACACTGTAAGACCCTCTCAAAGAGTACCAAGCGTTCATTTCCATTATAATTGTTCCTCACCGAAAAACACGTTTGCTCTCCTGGAAAAATACGTGCCAACTTAAAGTACATGGGCCTGATTATCAGCGTTTTCATTACGAAAATAGAGGCAAATAATGCTATCATGGGACAATTGAACAAGTCCGAGAGGAGACCATAGCCGGAAGTCAGCTATGCACTTTTACAAAACGAAGGGATAACAATCAATAAATGTATAAATTTGTAGAAACGATGTCAAACTTAATTTGTCGAGCGTAATTTATGATGGTACTGTTGGGGTAAGATTTGAAAGAAATACCAGGAGCGTACTCGTATATATTGGCTTATTCGTTACTTTCCGAACTTTGAAAACTAACCGTATCAAACAGTTTCACCCATGTCTAAGCGCTCTACTTGGTTTATTTCAGACTTTTAATGTCGCTCTAAAGAATTCGGCGGACTTTACCCCAAGAGATGTTTGAGAGACAGTCATAACTTAACGCCCAAATAGCAGTCCTAGACGAAAGAAGACAATTGGGATGTGTACTTCCATAATAAACTTAATATTTTTTCCAAATGATATAATAACTGCCGATACACAAAAATAACATTTATCAATTTATAACTGCTGTATTCTTTCTTTACAAAAAGTAAATGAGAATACTTTAAATCATATATCAAATAACAAGCAACTATTTACTGAAGCGGAGGCAGCTAGAGGTGGACGTGCACCGCTAGCCCCTGACATTGAGGTAAATGCTTGTTTTAGTATGTACTAAAATAATGAGATAACACTGCACAAAAAAGATGATTTTAACTCGTTTACTCCCGCAAAGTTTACATTATTGTCGGGCGCAAATCTCACGAGCGTAGCTTGGAGGTGGATAGCAAAGGATGTTCGGAGTTTGAGAAGCCATTCAGTGTGCACCTCCAACGCTATTCACTGCTTTAGTATATACTAATAAATTTTATCAGTAATTTTTCGGAAATGACATCTATATAAAATCATAATAAAAAAATATATTAAGAGTAATTATACGAAAATAATATTAATAACTTAAAATAACTTACTTTTGTAACATTCTC